TCACATGTTTCACATTAATTAATTCCACTAAATGTGATTATATATGAGGTTTATTTAATGGACCTTTAATATATATATATATATATATATATATACATTTATTGAATTCAAGAAACATTTAATTAATAAAACATTTAATTAATAAGACCAAGAGAGTAGAGTAGGTGGTTGTGGTTTATTCAATTCATCGTTCAAACATGATACATGATGATATTCATGATCATAATCCCAGAGAGAAAGGGAAGCCCGTCCCAGCTAACCAATTCCCACCACCGATAAAGTTCTCTGCTGTAAAACCTTGAGCTTCCGTAGCACTTGTTATCACCCTATACCCTCCCCACCTCACTCTATTCGATGTATCTGCCCCTGCCCCTGTGTTTTCATACTCTCCATAATACAAAGTAGCAAGTGCAAACTCCCCGTTCCAAGGATACCATCCTGCCGGGTTTATCACATTGCTTATCGTTGACTGCATCACCACTGTTCTCGAGTATTCCCTCCATGGCCTCCCTAGGTATGTCGGAAAGCTTCCTTGCACCGCTACAAGATCAGACGTACCTCCTATCCTTGATCTTTGAATCACAATCCCTGTATTTTGGTTTGGGTCGCTTCGGCCTTGAGCCGTCACCATGTTCCTTTGGTTGGGGTTGGGACGACGAGCCTGGATGTCACAATCTTGCAACACCGCTGCAGCATTGCCGAAGATGAAGTCAACCGTCCCCGCTATGTAACAGTTGATGTAAAACTGACGATTTGAGTGCACGTAAAGGGTGTCTTGGTATGCTATCATGTCGCATCGGTAGAATGCAGAAAGGTCTGATCCGACTCGTAGTGCCACGGCTTGCTGCCCGGAAGGCCCTGCCGTGTTTTGGAACGTTATATCCCGTGCCAGAAATCCAGTCCCCACAGCCGCTGCATATACCCCACAGCTGCAAATTAAATAAACAGAAACACACCTCTCCTCTCGCTAAAACATAAAATGTGTCGGTGTATAAGATTAGGTTTGATTATAAAGTCATAGATTACGATAATCCCAAGACAAGGATGTTTTTTTGACCAATCCAGTTGGATATATATATATATATATATAATAAAACAGTTTGAAAATAATCATTACAAAGTAGTAAAAGGTCAAACAACACTTGTGCTTCTTACCGACAGTTGCAGAATTGAAGGTGGTGCTGCCGCCAACAACGCTTCTGCTTCCGGTGATTATGGTGGAAGTTCTTCCGGAACCCAGAAACATCAAGTTTCTTTTACTACTTGGAATATCCACGTTTTCCCTGTACACTCCTGMCGCTATCCTAATCACATACCTGCTTGTGCTTG